TGCCGCGTTGTGCGTGGCCTGCTCGCTGCCCACTGACTGGCTGGCTGAGCGAGTGATAGGACGAAGTGAAATGCACGCCAGTCGTGAGTCACCTTTCAATCAAAAGAACCTTTTGGGGGACGCGGGGCGGCGGCTTGCACATCCTGCACATCCTGCACATCCAGATCAACATGTCACCAACCTGCTCGGCATGTGCATCACATATCCATCGCCACGGCGCGTTCAGCATGCAGAGCGCATCGCATCACGTGTTTCCGTCCGGCTTCTCACCTCGTCGAGTTCGAGAATATTTGACACGCATTCACGATTCAAAGCCGCTGGCTCACGTGTATCCCAGCTTCATGGCTTTGCGGCGAGCCCGTGCGCACACAGCCCAGCATGCATGCGCGAAGTTCGACGACGCTTGCCGGGTGACTCTGCGCGCGCAGCGCTGTTGTGATGCTTGCCAGCGCCAGCCATGTAATCTGAATGACGGATGGCAGCAGGAAGACCTCGTTGTGCGCACAGCACGCCCGCGCACGCACGCAACCAGTCGTCAGTGTGTGAATCGGACTCATGGACTGTTGCGGATGCACTCAGACTTGTGGGTTTGGTTGCACGGCACACAGCACCCAAGGAAGTCGACGGCGACGTATCTTCCTACAACCATTCCCCGACGGCTTCAGCACATCTTCACTTCACTCCTTTCCGCTGTTGCATCGTCTTGTGACCCTCTGAATCGCACTCGTAGCGACGTCCCTTGCTCCTAGCCTCACGCAAAACAGCCGATAGAGCGCCGTGACCGCACCACCAAGGGTCGCCTGACCCCCTCCTCTTCGTCCCTTCTACACTCGACCCATCGCACTCGACACCTGCTTCCGGATCCATTCAAGATGGGCGACAAGCCCATCAACTTCAACGAGCATGTCCAGCTCACTGCGCTGGGCATTCAGCCCGATAGCATCAGCTTTGCAAATGTGACGATGGAAAGCGAACGCTTTGTTTGCGTTCGAGAAAATGTCAATGGACAGAACAGCGTCGCAATTGTGGACTTGAATGACTCTGCGAATTTGTGAGTGCTCTGCTGGTGATCGAAGAGCTATGCGGAGCAGCTGGTTAATCATTGCTTCGCGGCCAATGCTTAGAATGAGACGGCCGATCACGGCAGACTCTGCAATCATGAATCCGGTGCAGAAGATCATTGCGCTCAAGTCGCAGAGACAGCTGCAGATCTTCAACATTGAGGCAAAGGCGAAGGTCAAAAGCCATCTGAGTGAGTCTGCTTGCACTGCTACTTGCTATCCTGTTAGCAGCCTAGCTCAAGCTGTGCTCCTCCGTTGCGCATGCAGTGCACGAGGATGTCACCTTCTGGAAGTGGATTAGCAACACAAGTCTGGGTATCGTGACAGAAGGCTCGGTGTATCACTGGTCGATGGAAGGCGAGGCAGGACCTCAGAAGATCTTCGATCGTCACGCATCTCTTGCAGGCGCTCAGATCATCAATTACCGGGTATCGGAGGATGAGAAGTGGTTGGTGCTGATCGGAATCACTGCCAACAATGCGCCAGGAGCTTTCAGAGTCAAGGGTGCAATGCAGCTCTACAGTCGCGATCGAGGGGTCTCGCAACCCATCGAAGGTCACGCAGCTTCCTTTGCCGATCTCAAGACTACGGATGCGCCAAACCCCTTCAAGCTCTTCACCTTCTCCGTCCGCACGGCCACTGGCGCAAAGCTTCACGTTGTAGAGATCGACCACCAGCAGGGCAATCCGACTTTCACGAAGAAGGCGGTAGATGTCTTCTTCCCGCCTGGTGAGTACGATCAGCGCAGGCATTCGCAAGGCGAAGAGCCGGCGGCCTACATTTTCCTTGCGCGTTGAATCCAGAGTTTGGAATCTGATCGCTTCGCCCTTGCCCTCTCTTGCCTATGCAGAGGCCACAAATGACTTCCCCGTGGCGATGCAGGTTAGCAAGCGCTATGGCATTGTCTACTTGATCACCAAATATGGCTTCATCCACCTTTACGATTTGGAGTCTGGAACGTGCATCTACATGAACCGTATCAGTGGTGAGACTATCTTCGTGACGGCTGAGCACGAGACGACCAGCGGCATCATTGGGATCAACAGGAAAGGTCAAGTGCTGTCGGTTTCGGTTGATGAGGGAACCATCATTCCATACATTCTGAGGACCCTCAACAATACTGAGCTGGCCTTCAAGCTTGCTTCGCGCGGTGACCTGCCAGGAGCGGACGATCTGTACATGCAGCAGTTCCATCAACTATTCAGCACAGCGCAATATGGCGAGGCAGCCAAGATTGCAGCCAACTCTCCCAGGGGCATTTTACGAACAACGCAGACCATCGAGCAGTTCAAGCAGGTACCTAACCAGCCGGGCAGTTTGTCTCCCATCCTTCAGTACTTCGGTATTCTCTTGGAGAAAGGCTCTCTCAACAAATTTGAATCGCTTGAGCTTGCTAAGCCCGTCCTTGTTCAAGGTCGCAAGCATCTGCTGGAGAAGTGGCTGAAGGAGAACAAGATCGAATGCAGCGAAGAGCTGGGTGACATCGTCAGGCAACACGACATGAATTTGGCGCTGAGCGTCTACCTGCGAGCCAACGTCCCTAATAAGGTGGTCGCTTGTTTTGCAGAGACCGGCCAATTCAACAAGATCGTCTTGTACGCCAAGAAGGTTGGCTACACACCCGACTACGCGGCCCTATTGCAGCACATTGTCCGCATCAGCCCCGAGCAGGGTGCGGAGTTTGCGAGTAGCCTTGTTGGCGAGGAGGGCGGCCCTCTCGTTGACGTTGAGCGCGTCACGGACATCTTCATGGGCCAAAACATGATTCAACAAGCTACCTCTTTCTTGCTTGACGCACTCAAAGAAAACAAGCCGGAGCAAGCCCACTTGCAAACGAGACTTCTCGAGATGAACTTGGTCAACGCTCCGCAGGTTGCAGATGCTATACTTGGCAACGAGATGTTCACCCACTACGATCGCCCTCGCATCGCTAACCTGTGCGAGAAGGCTGGCCTGCTCCAACGCGCACTGGAGCACTACGAGGCCGATGCAGACATCAAGCGTGTGGTCGTCCACTCCAACCTTTTGGACGCTACTTGGCTCGTGGACTACTTTGGCCGTCTAACTGTGGAGCAAAGCTTGGACTGCATGAAGGAAATGCTGCGCGTCAACATTCGTCAGAACCTGAGCGTTGTTGTTCAAATTGCAACAAAGTACTCTGACTTGCTCGGGCCCACGAAGCTCATCGAGATGTTCGAAGGCTTCAAGAGCTTCGAGGGTCTTTACTACTACCTTGGCAGCGTTGTCAACCTCTCGCAAGATGCAGAGGTGCACTTCAAGTACATTCAGGCCGCTACTCGTACCGGACAAATCCGAGAAGTCGAGCGCATCTGCCGCGAGAGCAACCACTACAATGCAGAAAAGGTCAAGAACTTCCTCAAGGAGGCCAAGCTTTCCGACCAGCTGCCGCTCATCATCGTGTGCGACCGTTTCGGATTCGTTCACGATCTTGTGCTCTACCTCTACCAGAATATGCTTATCAACTTCATCGAGGTGTACGTCCAGCGAGTCAACAGCTCCAGGACGCCACAAGTCATTGGTGGTCTTCTGGATGTGGACTGCGATGAGGGCGTCATCAAGAATCTTCTCACGTCTGTGACTGGCCCCATTCCTGTTGACGAGCTCGTGGAGGAAGTGGAGAAGCGCAACCGCCTCAAGCTCATCTTGCCTTGGATCCAGTCGCGCATCGACGCTGGCGCCACGGATCAGCCCTTGTTCAACGCCATAGCCAAAATCTACATCGACAGCAACAACAATCCCGAGAAGTTCCTCAAGGAGAACAACCAGTACGATCCCCGAGTCGTCGGGAAGTACTGCGAGAAGCGGGATCCGTATCTTGCGTACATTGCCTATGCGAAGGGTTTCTGCGACGAAGAACTCATTGCTATCACGAACGACAACACCATGTTCAAGCACCAAGCTCGCTATCTCGTTATGCGCCGTCAGCTCGACCTGTGGTCTATCGTGCTCCAACCGGACAACGTGAACAGGCGTCAACTCATTGACCAGGTCACCTCGACGGCCGTGCCCGAGTCCACGAATCCCGATGACGTCTCCGTCACTGTCAAGGCGTTCATGGCTGCTGACTTACCCCACGAGCTCATTGAGCTTTTGGAGAAGATTGTCCTCGAGCAGTCGGCGTTCAACGACAACCGCAGTCTTCAGAACTTGCTCATGCTCACCGCTGTGCGCACCGACAAGGGCAAAGTGATGAACTACATCGACCGTCTCTCTGGATACGACGTAGATGAGATTGCAAAGATTGCGATCGATCATGGCCTTTACGAAGAGGCGTTCCGCATTTTCAGCAAGGCAGAGCAGCACACTGATGCTATGAACGTGCTCGTCGAACATGTGGTCAGCATTGAGCGTGGCCAGCAATACGCGAACAAGCTGAACAAGCCGGAAATTTGGAGCCGATTGGGTAAGGCGCAGCTCGACGGTCTGCGTGTCAAGGATGCCATCGACTCGTACGTCAAGGCGGAAGATCCGAGCAACTACGCCGAAGTCATCGAGATTGCCGAGCATGCTGGTAGAGAGGAAGAGCTCATCCGCTTCCTGCAAATGGCACGCAAGAAGGCAAGAGAGCCGCAGATTGACACCGAGTATGCCTACTGCCTTGCCAAAGCCAACAGGCTTGGCGACATGGAGGAGTTCTTGGGCATGACCAACGTTGCTGACATTATGAGCGTTGGGGAGAAGTGCTTCAATGATGAGCTGTACGAGGCTGCGAAGCTCTTGTTCAGTAGCGTGTCTAACTACGCTCGACTGGCCACCACACTCGTATA